CCCCCTTTACCCCTCAGCACCCTACCCGCCCGCGAGCATGTCTCGCCTCACCTCCATCCGCTCTCACATTTTCTTCTTCACTCACTGGCTCCCATCTTCTCTCCGATATGCACCCCACGCTACTGTCAACTTTACTCCCACGCGAGACTGAAACCCCCTGAGAAAGGTCGAAGAAACGATTCTATACCGACGGAGCAAAGATGCGCTCCGCGGGAGTCTTCTTATGGGAGGTCAGCCAGCACAGTTGCTCGGCTGCTTTCCTCGTTGTTTCCTTGCTCATTCTCTCTTTATACAGTCCTTCCTCTATCTTTCTCTCTCTGTCTCAGTCGATTCTGCTTCGTATCGCACCCACGCGATTTAATCGCACGCGAAGACAGTCCTAGGTAAAATTAATGAAAAGCCACAATGGCAGAGACGCCCTCGGATCGACCCAATAGTTTTGTCTTTGAAGCTACTTTCAACTGTAAATCACTTCTTGTCTGGTGAAGAAGATTTCTTGATTTACCGACTGACGTTAAATATTCCGTTACGCGGATTGAAGTCCTTTTTTATTTTTATATATATATTTTTTCACTCGCGTGTTTATCTGTTTTCTTTTTTCTTCCTTGTAGAATGGATATCCGCCCTTGTGCCCATCTCTGAAATTTTGCTACGTCATTCAGCAACATGGGGGGGAGACGTCTCCCATGGGTTTTGCTGACTCCGAAGGTCATATCTCTTGTTAAACTACCGCGGCCATATTGCGCTCTCTCAGACTGCTCAGCTTGAACGCGGGAAGACTATAATATTCTCTTGCGATTTCTACCGCCTCTGTTACTTACTCTGTGTGACTAAATGAGGTCCGATCGACGTGACGTGGGCACGCGGCTCCAATTAGAGAGATCGAGGGGAATTGCGAAATTAAATATTCGATTACGCACTTTGGGGATACCGCATGAAATTTGCTCGTAGGATATACCGATTGGGAATCATGTCGTGCAGCATAGATCTTCAGTTACCGTCGGGTGAAAAATAATTTGAGATTCGGAAAGGGCGTAAAAAAATAAAATACCAACGAAAAAAAAACATGACACAACCAATCTTAGGAAATATTAGAGACGTCGATACATTGATTGTGACTAAATTATTCAATTCGTTGTGGCCATTGCTTGCGTGAGAGATATATAGAAACGCGCCCATTCGCCTTAATGATTTATGAACCTTAAGGACATAGATATACCGCGATTGATAGTGACTATAGACAAGTACGTGATTAACCGTATCAAAGAACTTACCAGCAGTAAAGTGTCATCGCTGTTAGTGATCCTTGTTTTTTATATCCTTCGACTGTAACCTCTCAGCGTGGAGTTTTTATTTTTATTATCGTGGAAAAACATAAAGTAGTCTTGCCGAAGGTAACGATAACCTCGTTTTCTTTATTACAAGAATTCAGGGCTTATCGCTAACGTGACTCTTCATAGCGACTGTTTACTTCCATATACCACAAACACGAAGACTGGTAGCAGCAAGGAGCGTTGCTTACAAAGAATCTAAATCGACCTTACCGACCGTGAATAAAGAATTTTCCTACAACGTCTGTAGTACCTAATGGTAAATTATTACCCGATGGTAAAACAGGATAAATACTATCGTTACCTAGAAGCAGACATATACGTCGCTTCTAATTTTAAAAAACCGACTAAACGCCTAATGTCGTAACTTCCATTATTCCATCCTACTACAAAAGCCAGCTAAACATACCAATGTCAGAATACTTATGACGACCCGTAGAAAATCGAGTTAGACACCCATGAAATTGTCACATTCCCCGTAGACGATGCTCAAGATATTTTCCTTGATCTCACTCATGTAATCAGTTACGAATAATAATGATCTGTCACTCTAATAAATCCTGGCAAAGGCCTTTCACGTCAGAATTAAAATTATCCATATTCCAAATATAACTGTAATATAACTGTAACCTTAATTATCAATACGAACAGCGTTGTGCATTGTATCGCATTTTTCTTTTGTAAGAACGAATTGATGAATAAAAAAAATCTTAACATGATCCTCCGACCACGTATACGTATACATTGGTTCTAGAGAAAGATTCCAGAACTCACATTAAGACTATACGAGTGCTGTACCGAAGCGTACATACAAGAGAGAAGGATTGAGGAGGGTCGAAGAAGAATTGTATACCGTGGGAGAGGAGACATGTCTAGAGAGCACCGAGAGGGGACCTTCTTGGCGCTCTTGTTGTCAGTCTCATTGTTATCGACCCGGTTGTATTCCGTAGCGTCATTGGTAGCAGGATCACGTGGTATCTATCGCTAGCCAGCCAGCGCCCTACGATACGCCATCATCGTGGCCTAAGTTAGTTTTGCGTGAAAGGTCAGAGGAGCAACTCAATATAAGTCAAACCTTGTGAACCTTTTTCCTATGCTTCAACATTTTTGCCACCTACACTTCCCTTTAAAAAGCAATGTTACTATAGCCAACACGGAACGGAAGGTCTGAATATTCAAAAGGAAGAAGATTTTTAGCCTCAATGATAAAAATAATCCTCCCCGAATTCCTCCGATGCATTTATTAAGGATTTTTCTGTACCATTTTTGATCACTAGAGAAGGGGCGGGTGAGGGGAGGGGTAGGTAGAAATTGGAAGGTTAGGTGTAAATTGGAAATTCTTACGTTTAGTCTTCATAGTCTTGAAAATCAATACTGCGGAGACATTTATCTCCCGCCCTTAACACCCGCTGACAAAGGGTACTTTTACGTCTCTCCTTCATCCAACCTCCCTTCACCTCAAAATGGTGTTTTTCCTTTTTCCTTTTAAGACTTTTTCCAGATAAATTTATTAGAATTCATCCGGTGAATTCTCCATTCCGATATGATCATTTCTCTCTGCTATCCGATAACATGTAATTGTGCCATTGGCCTGGGTTTTAATTGCCAAAGGCATTAATACTTATAAGTATAATCAGCAGAAGTAGCTATGTAATTAGTGCACTCTGACCGTTAGATTTCTTGTATAAAAAAGATGTAACGATATCTTGACAATTCTAATACAGAACTTTATATTAGAAACGAGTATACATTGCTCTGCTATCGTTAAAGGTATCTACGCGTTAGACGTTCAGAAGTAAGACGAAATGAATGACAAACAAATTCTATGGAGTGTCTCGCAATATACGGGGGAACGCCGCGTGGTACCTTATTCTTTTAACATCAACTTCTAATATGTCTGGTCGTTTCAAGCAAGGCTTCCATCATTGTTATACGTTTATCTGTTGTAGAGTTGCAGGTATAAATGATAGGAAATACTTGTTCACGTTATACATAGTTCAATGTACGTAACGGGCTCTAAAGTTACGGTATCTCTTGGTATGAGAAACTCATTTCGTGTCTCAGAAAATCCTGAATGCCATTATGGAGAAAAAATAGGCGACTTATGCGGGTCCATGAAACATTCCCTTTTCAGAGAGGCACGCTCTTGACAATCAGTCAAGTATATAAATACTCGCGGGTCTTCTCACTAAATAGTTTGTCCCTCCGTTTAGTACAAAACAGTTACTGAGAATAGATATCATGTGTAAAGTTACGTTTGGAATCATCACGCTGCTAGGTAGTCTGATCCTATTTCATACAATTAGTAACAGTAAGGTAAGCATTGCTATTTCTATGTAACGATGTTATTTAACGATTATCACTCGAGATATTTTTATCCAGGTTTGATTTTGATTTATTGAAATTTTTTTTTCTTTTTAAATAGGCTCAGACTTCCTCTGACGCGGAGGTGGGAGATAATGCTAGAATTATATTTGGAGTTAACAATCCTATTCGCAGATGGTATTGCAGTACATTTTGTAATTATCCCAGACTATTTTTCGGCACGAAGTGCGCCAAGAAGTGTCCGCAATTTCCGATTATTGTTATACAACCTACCCTTAATTATAAGACGACTGCTAAAGAGGGCACTGTAACAAAAAATGTCACGACTACTACTCCTGTTTCGATCCTTGACAAGAATTCTATGGACGTATCAGAGGGTTCAATGGTGGGTTCAGTGAAGGAAGGATCCGTTGACAAGTCCAATGTCATCAAACAATAATTTAATGTCAGCCAATTAAAGATTATAATCGTGGAAATTATATGATATTTTATGCCATGTTATTTGTGTGAAATGGAAGTTGATGCCAATAAGATATGATAGGCGACTGTTGCGTTACCAGAAATTGCTGATAATCGAATCAGTTTCACTAAAATATCATTTGGTGTCATTACAAATGTAACCTGTTGCAGCATCATTGCTGTATAGTGAAGATATGTTTTTAATTATAATCGTACCGTATGATAGGATACTAATAAGCCTGTCGAACCCAACGATTAGTTTCACTTATTAACCATGTCATTGTATGATTAATTGAATCTCTTGTCATTAAATACGTATACTCACTACTTTGTCGATCCTTACGTAATTGTGCCGATATCTGTTATTGCTCCTACTTTCTGCTGTCATTGATATCATCCAAAATTATTTTTCACACGTCGGAAATGTCATCGTCGGAATAAAATTTCATACCATCGTTAAAAATGATAATCGCAGAAAAGATTTATCGTTTCCATATACAATTACTCGATATCTCTGTCACTGTATCTATTCACTGACAACACTGGTATCTCTTCATGAATTGTAAGTCTTTACACTTGCAGTAGATATAAACAATAATGTCGTTGACTGAAGATAAATTAATTCGACTTTCTGATGAATATTAATGCCGCGCGAATCTGACATACTGACACGACATAGAAAGTGCTGCCATCTCTGAGTCGAAACAGCTACTACTTCGTCAACTCCATTAAACTGTGCTCAGTTGTAACTGAGCTCGCGGTAAGTCATCAACTCTAATGAAGTTTTCGATTGGTAGCAATTTTCTTGTACAGTGTAAGGTGTAGCCTGGTACGCTTTCGATTGGCAAATTTTCCTACAGCTATTAGATGTGCTATGGTACAGAATTGCACGAGGCTACACCTTGCACTCGGTGAACAAAAATTCTATGAATTAAGAACGGCATCAGAAATCGTAAGTTCAAAGGGCGCAAATCATTGCACAAAATGAACCACTTCGAAAGGAATTTTAACAGATTCGCATTTCCGAATTAGCCAGGCATGTGCCATGAGTTATATTACAGGTAACAAATTATATTAATACTGACTCAAGTGGGGAATTTATGTTTCCATGCATGTTTCAGCAACAAAGCATAGTGAGGTTTTGTTTGGTAAGACTATTGAGGTTTCTGTGCACAAATTAAATGGAAACATCAACAGACATTGACCTGGATATTATTTGATAAGAATGAAAGCTTCATTATGACAGAAATAGAGTTGTGCCAATGTCATAAAATTCTAGTCCGATTCATAAAAATATAAAGCATACGCCTATTTGGGTGTAATAAACTATTGTGATAAGTTATGATATAATTATGTTATTTTTCAATATTTATTCGACGAGCTTCTTTGCAATCGTTAGTAGAATAATCCAAAAGCACTTCTACGGAATCCTCTCGGTTGTTAAGTTATTACCCTCCCATTTAATCTATCTCGGTTACCATTAGTTAGTCTACTACTTTACCAGTGACTGGCAATTCATTGCCCTACCGCGACATCTGCTGATTACTCGGTTTAATGCAGTTATAAAAAGTAAAATTCTAAGTGACATAATAGAGACAATGTATTGACCATTTTTCCTTATCGCTAATCAACCATCATTAAATTCCGCAATAATATTTCCAACGTTTCTTTAAAAAATCACTTATTCCTGACATTCTCCTTATATATCAAACGTATCTTTATAATAATTCCTAGAAATTAATAATTATAAAAATTCATAAAAAATATGACAATAGAAAATACCTATAATTTTTCCTTTGCACACTATAGTTTTCTCACGGCATTGATGCATGTGATTACCATCGCAATAACTTCATTGACTCCGATTCACCTGCAGGATACAGGATATCGACCGGGATGTCGTGAAGAACACGTGTACCTACGTTCACTCGTGGGAAAAGAATCGATACATCGATAAAGATTGCACGAACCCGATGTCTGGAAGAAGCAAATGGGCATTCTGATCAGTGTTCGATCACAGCTGCCAGGTGCCAAGATCAAACCCGATAATTACGGTAAATTGAGCAAGGATTTAAGCTGAAGGCTAACCTATGCTTAAATAGACACGACCATTGGCACAAGGCGTAGCCTGAGGTAGGCAGATCAGTCTTGGTCCACAGTGCGTTAACTACTCATAACTATTCGGGTTGAAAACTGGGTCAGAATACGCAACAGCACGTAGATACTAATCCCTCCTTTTATACTTCTACACCGAGTACCAGAGTCCAGTCTTAGTTATGTTATGTTATGTTATATGGCTCCCAGCATCGCGTTCCTGGAGCACGAGTTTACTTTCGAGATACAAACGGGTTACGTAGATCGTATCTTGGTTCGATCTGACAATGAATATTCGCCCTGTCCGCCTACTATATAACAGGACATTTCTCTTTCAGGGAAAAATGATTGAGTGGAGAAAGGATTTCGGAGAGGAATAAAATCCAATACAAAATGGCGATCGCGTTGCGAGCTGTGGCTGAGTCGCTTTTGAATTACTTGTGGGAGCAGAATCTTGACATCTCTATGACTCCAACTCCCACGTTGGTACTAGACGATTTTCCAGTTGCCAACAAAAAAAGGCCGCTTCATGCGAATCGAGAACACTGTTTTTCTGTTCCTCGGTGTGAACGTGACTTTCTCGCGTGTGTGTTGGGCTCCGATAGTGGAATGGTGACGTGAAACTTGAATGCGTCAGAAGTTGCATTAGACAGTCGTTACTTGTTGGGAATACATGATGATTCGGTTTGGTTGGAACGATTTCGAGCGAATATATTATTTTTGTGGAAATTTATGCAAATATAAGTATTTGCACGAGGGGGTCTTAGATTCTTTAGGAATTCTGGGTATTCGTACAGATAAAAACGTGAGACCTTGAACAATGTCTTTCTAATGTCAGTTATGCGAATTAGAAGTAGACATATATATATATATACCCTTTGGCTATAATATGGAACATGATTTCTATATAAATTTATGGTCGGCCTTCATACCTGGAAAGTTGGTACACTTTTGAATCTGTAGCAATTAAAATTTAATATTCTTATTTTGAATAGGCGATCACCTCACATGTATAGTCCGTTTAGGATAATATCACCCAGTTGAAAATCGTATAAGCTTTTATGTAAGCAGACGTTCGAGCGGGCCGTTTTGCGATGTTACAAGTGACAGGTGAGAACATTTACATAATCAATTCTATTGTATTCCATTTTAGTTGTATACATATATCTCTTTGTTCAAAACTAGGCCGAGCATGTCCATGACTTCGACTCAATATCCCTTTCTGTGGTAAGTATACAAAAATCATAACCAAAATCAGAGTGGAATAAGATCCCATGTCGTGCGAGTCAAAAATACTCTAAATTAAACAGCGACGTGTTGATTCGCAGACATTTCCGTATCCATATGTTTATAAAAAAAAAAAAATTCAAGTCGAACACCAAATGTCGACCTTCCTGTATTTGGACAAATGGCCGTCTAATTCGAGCGGAGGAAGCGATACAAGGTTCTAAAATAGAGACAAAAAAAATTAGTTTCTAAATTTATAATTATTTCATTACACCCAGGAGTATCTTCGTGCTATCTCTTGAGAGTAAAAAAAAAATGCTGAAGTTACACGAATTTCCTAGTTTCCGAAGCTCGCTACGACCGGTGTGTCAGAATAATTAAAACTCCTAGACGAACTGGATTAAGAATTCGTTGTCCCTCGAGAGTTGCTAATATCAAGCAAGATTCCCTATTCCAAGATCGATAGGTATCTAACACCTTACGGCGCGAGATTGCGCAGAATCTCATACGGCCAAGCGAAAGTTGATCTTTGCCAGTCAGAATGCAGTTTGCCATTTTTTCGATCAGGGTCGCTCGTCCAGCATGCGTTTGAAGATGAAGATTCCGAAGTGAAAAGTATCCAAGATATAGTCTCCCTTTTTCTCATTTTCCATATACAAACAACATTGCTACAGTAACCACGCACGTAGCATAGCCCACTAGTGAGCCCGATATGATATTACTATACGATAAAAAGTGAAGTATAACTATCGTGGATCAACCAAGGAGGAAAAAGATTTCGTTGGTGCAGGTTACGAGGTAGGATAAGATCTTCGGCAAGATCATGAGAAATTAGTCTCCCACTAGGCTACCTTTGTAATTAGGTAAAAAAACAGTGAAAGCTGTGATTAAAACTTATTAATCAAACAATTTGCATAGAACTACCTACTGCATCTAAATACTTGTATGACGCATCCAAGAGTCACAATACACCAACGCACGTGCTTGGCGCGAGACTAAAATACAGTGTTGCAGTGTCCAGAGTAAACAAGGTGTCACACTGTATGCCTATTCAACAATGCATACACTTTTCTTCATTTTAACGTCTGTCGTGTCTATGGTAACCCTAACTAACCAACGATCAACATTCAATTACGAATGAGCAATTTCCAATAGCTATGATTAAGATCTTGGTTATAACAATACATTTTAGTTGACGTACTAGCAGAAAATGGTGGATCGATAATTGTAACAAAAAATCGTATCGCGAAACTTGCTCTGACCCACATTAAAGATGGTTCACCCCTCTACTTGGTAGGTGGCAGTCATCTCCGTCGTACCGATACCTTTCCCTTCTTTTCTGCTCTCACCAGTCGTTCTGTAACTTCGCTTGTATGCGCATACACGCTATATGCATATCTTCATTATATATAGCTATACGATTCTAGGTAAGACGATATTATTTAACATTTGGATTATTTAAACTTTACTCGTTCACGTATTTTCACATCCATGCGTCGCTCCTAGCTGGCTAGACGCGTTTTATATAACGTCAATTAAAGGTCTCAAGCACCCCGGGACGAGAGGCCTTTGCCCAGTTCACTGAGTTAACGTAATCGCCACGGTCACTTTGCATGCCTGGTCGTTACACGAGAAAATTATATTTCTCGACGGAATCATATATAATTCCACAAGCAGTTCTTTCGATGAGATAAAAACGTTGCATAATTTTTGAAAATCATAAAACAGTCCGTTTTTTCCTTCTACTTATCGTTCATCTCATTTTCTTTATCGATGCTGCATTATGCTTCGAGTACCCTAACTGGCTATCTGCCTAGGTTGGAATTTCGTTATACTTTTAATAGTGAACATGAGTATGATACTTACTGTAACAATAAGATTGATATTAATAACAATGACAAAGACTGTATTCAAGATTAGCCACTCTGCATAGTCGGAACAATATAGTCGATTGATTTGACTGTGACAGTCAAAACATTGTACAGGCTTTTAAATGAC